TCAGTTCCTATCTCTAATAGATAAGTAAGAACAGAACTGGAATAAGTAAACTATTGGCGAGCTGGCAAGGAGAGCTGACGTGGCAAGATAAGCTGCTGTGTGAGCCCCCTTCACTGCTGCTGTTGGCGGCGGTAATTCTTCCCACGAATGCATCCACAACATTACTCCCCTCTTGGACTACGAGCTTGTCCTCAAGCTCGAATTCAGGATGGGTGTCGGGAAACACCGTCAAAGGAATCTCGGATAGGTGGAATGACTTTGCCCTCCTGGATCGGGTGCCAATGATGGGGGTTCATCCTCATCTTCCTCTTGTTTCACCAGGAGGCAGAAAAGTCTCTTGCACTTGTGCCCTGCTGAGTAGACTTCATCGCAATTAAAACATTGCCCCCTCGCCCTGCGTTCTGCCATCTCAGCCCTGGACAAGTGCTTAATAGGGGGTGTAACGACGCTGCTCCCCACATTGGATGTTGATCTGGAATTGGTGCTTGTCTGTGGCTTCCGTTCTTGGCTGGCTGCTGAATATGGAGCCACTTCGAGTGGTTCCAGGGATGCCCATGCTGACGGAGACCGCACCATACTGAAGGTTCCGTGGCTGAGTTGTAGTTTGCGTTCGAAGGCGCGTGCTAGGTTCATGGCTGTGACCAGGTTGGGAGGGTGTTGCATCTCCACGTCCACTCTTAGGGGTTCTGCTAGCCCTGTGGTGAACATATCGACTTGTTGATCTGCGCGAACCGAGGTTGCTTTGGCGAGAAGGGTTTGGAACTGGCGTTGGTATTCTACCACGGTTCCAGTTTGTTTGAGGTTGATTAACTCGCCCAGCAGGTTGCTTGTCAACGGTGGTCCAAACCTGAGGAGACAATATGATTTAAACTGCCCCCAACTGAGCCCGGGTTCTTCTTTCTCTAGTCGGTAGAACCAGAGCTGTGCCTCTTCTAATAGGTGGAAGGCAGTCAGACTAACCTTATCTTTGTCATCAGTGTGCTGATTACGGAAGAACTGTTCGCAGCGAAACAGCCATCCTAACGGGTCTCCGGTGTCGTTGTAAGATGGGAATTCCAGCCGGCTATACTTGGGAATAACTGCGGCTGTCGAGGCAGCGATCTACTGTTCGCTGGATGCCTCTGCCCAGTCCGGACGACGACTGTTTGTGGTGGCGGTTCCCTCAGAACTCCTTTCTTTGTTGGAGAGGAATGCTTCCAGCAGGCGTCGCAGCTCCCAGACATCTTCCTTGACTTCACGAACCTCCATGCTGGTTTCTGCTAGCCTATGTTCCAATTCGTGGACCCTGGAAGACAGCGGCTCCTGTTCCCCCATGACGGTAGGCTCTGATACTAGAATGTTATGGGCCCAAGCGTAGGATCTCGTCACGGGTCGGTCCACGGGGAGAACCTCTTGCTTCCGCTTGCGCCTTCCCTTGCGTGCAGACCCTATTGTGGAAAACCGAATGGGTGATTTGTCCAAGAGACCACCCAAACTCTCCTCACTCTTCTCTTGACTAGAAAACTGAATACTTTATTCCCAAATCACAACTCCTTAAATAGGAGATTACAAGAGGAGACTCCTTACTCCATTCGACTAAGCTAGGACAATCCAACTTTAAATCAAACTCCTACTTCTAACAGACTTCTAACAGAACTCAGTTCCTTTCTCTACTAGATAAGTAAGAACAGAACTGGAATAAGTAAACTATTGGCAAGCTGGCAAGGAAAGCTGACGTGGCAAGATAAGCTGCTGTGTGGGCCCCCCTCACTGCTGCTGCTGCTGGTGGTAATTCTTCCCACGAATGCATCCACAACAAGCTCATCCTCATTCAGTCCCACACTCTCAAGGACTGTTTTTCTTCTGTCTCCAAACTAATTTGCTGTAGAAATTTTGTAGGTCACCTATGGAATCTTACTAAATCAACTAGCAAGTCATTCACATGTGTGTGTATTTAACTAATTATACATGTAACAGTTCGCATGCATGCTCATGTGCATGGACAGAAGGATGCTTTGTACAGATGAGAGAGTACAAACAACAATGTGCCTCACAAGAGGGAGAAGTACTTGGTATATCCCACTGAGGGGTAATCTGAATATCAAACTGATTGGACACTCTGAACTCTTACCTACCCAGAGGAATGTGGCTGACCAACAATCAAACTATTGATATCATCAAGGTCAGAGAAAAGGCAACTATGAGTTTTGAATTTGAATATTATATTTCTTGCTCTCACAGTGAAAAGAAGACCTGGTAAAGTTTATACCGATATTTTAAATGTGGAGGCATGACATGAGACATTCCACTATCTTTAAGGCATTAGAGAGTGAACCCATGCAATTAATGGGGTTGCATCAGGCTTCCCTTCTTGGCTTGTCAAGTATCTCATTTTACCTTTTCCATCAATATATTGTGCACACTCAAGTTCATTGAAGTAATTTGATATTTGGTAGTCCTCAAATTCTATCACACTACATCTACAAACATTACCAGAATGACTATTGAATGCTTTCTTTATTTCCGGACCAGTCTCCATAGCAATACAACCAATCACCAAACACCAGAAAACCACACACTTGCTCGGGTTTAGCAATTGACTTCTCTTCTAGCTCAATCAAGACAGGTGGCACAAAAATAGAGTGAGATTAATCTCAAAAGTTCTGAAAATCAACTTCCATTTGATTATAGGATTCACAAAATATCATCTGGATCAGACCTTTGTGGCCACTGGCCAAACAAGCTTTTCTGCTCTTGTCAAGTCATACTAATCCATAAAACATCCATCTGATTTTTAGGAATTTCAGAAAACATGGATGGTTAGGCAGAAAGGTTCAAGAAAAACACCAAATATCCCTAAAATATCATATGCTAGGATGGCAACAGGCAGATTTCATAATCAATCATAAGGCCTTGTTGAACCTAAGCCACATGAGAGTATTGTTTTCTAGTTGTAGGTCAGAATAGCAATACACAAAGGGATCTAAGTGCTGATACCAACTTGGAGACAATAAACCTGTGAAAGGGAAAATATAACTGAAATGTAGAGGGTAAGATAGAAGATATAACCGATAGGTTGGCAGATGAATTGGCAAAACAAGGGGTAGAGAGAGAGAACTCATCTTGAGGAGGAGAAGGAAATTTCTGATGTATTTTATTTCTGTTTTGGCCATCCCAATCTCTGGGATGTAGCCTCTTCCTTTTCTTTACCAAACAATTGGCTGCTTAAAAGATCAGTGACAATCAAAAACAAAATACACATTTTGGTTCTTAATAAGAGAACTAAAAGTCATACAAAAGACCATAAAGAAATAGACTGAAGTATCCATAATTACTTAATAGATGAACTAACTTAATCTGAAAACTTTACCTTCCTCCTACTTGTATATTATTTTTCTTATCAATCCAAAATATACAAATCATCAAATTTCAATTATAAAACTGTAGCAGCAGGACTGGGGATACTCACAGAGATATACTGGAGAACATCATTATTTGCGACTATAGAGGCAGATAAACGTTTTGCAGGCTCAACAGAGTATTCGGCTCGAGCATTCCGAATTGCTCTAGTCTGTTCCACCAAACCAAAAATGATAAGAGACTCATTCCCTCCATAAAAATATGAATACATTGACAACAACATTCATGAAGGGGATTTTTCTTTTTCTTCTTTTTTTCCAGGAGGGAAAGATTACTAAATCTTACCAGAGCTTGTAAGTTCTCAAATTTCTTTATAGAGTTGGCATCCCTTGGTAGTGATGTTTCAGGCCAATGAGATACAATAAGAGCCTGTCTTTGATGAGGTAATGCCTATTTAGATCAAAGGAAGCATTGTAAGAATTTATACATAAACATGCATTGGGTATTGTCATATTTATTTAGTCAAACTTCCACTCTCCTAGAAGAACCGCGACAGTATATTGGCTTTCACATGCCAGTTGAATTTTAAAGCAAACTGTTAGAAGGTTCATTATGTGATATACTAAGGGCAAATCATTATTTTCTCTTATTTAGTATATGAAGGGGCTGGCTAGTTGACTGGGTCATTAGACTAGTTGAGACCCTGCTTCTTTTATTCTCTGCTCTTCTCTTACTGCTTTATTATTTGTTCTTTTTTTTTCTTGCCTCTGTTTATTCGGACTTTCAATCAGAGGTTGGTATTATAGAACTTTCAAGAGCTTGAAGAATCAAACAGAGATCTGCTTCTGCTGTTCAACATGTTGTCAGATGATGTAAGAAAACTAGCATGGATTCCATAAGAGCTTCCAAAAGCAGTAATTGATCTCTTCTAGGGATTAAATGAGACCAAGAAAACATAGTTATTGAAAAAAAATGAGACCCAGAAAACAGCAATAGCCAATCCTAGTAGATCTCTAACAGGTTTAACAACCCAACTCAGGTAGAAAGCTTCAGCCTTTATCTGATTTCTGGGCAGAAGCACTGGGACAACTTCTAGGCAGCTAAAATAGATTTCGAACCTCTACCAAAACCTCTTTAGGCTGCGCTTTTAATCAGTGTAAATGTGAATTGGCGTAAAACTCCACCGTCGGTTCACATTTACATGCATTTGTTTTCAGTGGAAATACGGACCGGTGTAAAACCTCACACCTGGTCCATATTTTCACGCATTTGTTTCCACTGTAAAAGTTACATCGAAAATCGATGTAAACCATCTAATCGGCTGACTTTTCCATCGATAATCAATATAAATAAAACATCGATTTTATCGATGTACATTTACATCGATTATCACATAAAAAAACTCCAACAGTCCATTCAAATTTTAAACCCATCAACTGACTTTTCCTAAAGGCATGCAGTCAGATAAGAAAACTGATAAGCACCTCAATCACCAAGGTGCCCTGTTGATCTTAGGGATACATGGATCTACCATGCAAGAAAGAAGAAAAAGAGACTTGCTCTGATACCAACTTTTGATTTTGACGCAGCGTGGAAGCAATGGAAACCGGAGCTGGCTATGCAAGCACCTGACAATCGCTAGCTTCTAGCAAAGAACGCCGATTTCTCTAGGAGAGAGAAAAGGTGGCGAGAACTCAAAGAAGAGAACTAGAAGAAACATAGAAAATCTGAAGTATGAAAATTGATTAATAATTCTGGGRAATAGCAGTATTTATAATACATTGAGAAATTGTAAAATAATTAGGAAAGAACATGGATCTTGATCTTGATCTTGAACCTCTTGAGTTATCTTGATAAGGTCGAACCCTCTTAGAATTCTTGGGCTTGATCTTCCACCATCCGATCTCCCTAGCTCTCCTTATGCATGAATCTGGGAGTCTTGGATTTCTTGATGCTTCTTGGAGTCTTTGTTGGA